TCCAAAAATTATTTTTCAAATAAAATTGATGTCAAACAGGGGCATAATAAAAGTATTTGATTCAAAACGTTCTTAGAGGAAACTTGTCTAATATTTTTGAGATTGTACCATATAACGATACATGATTGGACGGTTAAAAAAAACATTTTTTTCTTTGCACGCTTTTTTGTACTCTCGTACTATGTCAAACAAGATGTAATACATAGAACGTATACTTAGCCTAATTTAATTAATTAATGGTCGAAAAATAAAATATTAGTTGACTTATAAAGAGGTGTGCAGGTTCACATGAAACTGAATACGTGTGATTACAACTCGGTGGGTACCGGATTCTGATCACAACAATAAACCCATTTATTCATGCGCCGTCAAATCTGTACGGGCATTTACGGACAATAATTTACCTCTTCAGCCGGTTGTCAGTCATTTTCCTTACATTTCAACGCGCTTCTCTTTTTCAGTTTTCTCCCATAACTAAGGCCCTGTTTGGACTTATCTATGCCCTTGTTTGGTTTCATTATTTCCAAAATACATTTTTTACTATCTTATTTTCAACCGTACATTTTTTAATAAAATAATATTACACTTAAATCTAAAAAAAATTCTTATTTTTTAACCACAAATTCTTTATCAAAACACAATTTCAAAATACATTTGGACAAAAAAGAAAAAAAAAAATGAAGCTCAAACAGACTCAATAATATGTTTGGATAATTGTTTTGAATTTAAGTTGTGCATTTTATTTTATTTTTTGTAATAAAACAGAAAAATATTATTTTAATCACTTTATTCATTAATACATTTAGTCCAGATTGATTTTGGTTAAAAAAAAGTATATTTTAATTAAAAAAATTATAAATACATGATTAAAAAATAATTAATAAAAGTTTTGGATCTCGTGAAATGTGTAATTAATATTAATTGTTTAATTTGACTTAAATTTTTATCAACATTTATAGTTAGACCAAATAGATAGTTAAACATATTTTACTCATATGATATTTTAGTCTTTTTGTGTGACACTTCAATGATACACTAGTCAAATTAAAATTTGTTGCATTAGAATTTTATTTAGAGTAAGAAAATTAGAGCAAAAACTTCTCGCAATAACTTCAAATTTTTTTTTTTTTAAATATGAAGAGGTTAAGATGAACAAATGAACATAATAGGGGTGAATGTGTCAACTATATGTCAACAAATAATAATGACAATGTTTTACCATAAATTAAAGAAATATTTTAAAGCATTTTTGAGAAAGTACTATTGCCCTACAAAAATTATAATTATTTTTAGTATTTTTTTGTCTACAATCAAATCTAGGGAGAATTGCTGCTATGGTACCAAACCTTTCATATGTGACAACCATTGTACTAAACCTTTTGGAAATTTCGCATATATAGTCCAATCCGACAGAATCCGTTAATTAAGTCGTCCGTTGACCTTAAAATTAGAAAATTTGATAATTTTGACCGACTAAGACAAATGTATTTTCTTGAGATTACATCCCTTTTTTAAAATGTAATTTGACGAAAATGCCCTTATTTTTAATTTGTTAATATTATCATTATTTTCTATTTTTAAGGTCAACTGACGGCTTAATTGACGGATTTCGTCAGATTGGACAATAGGTACAAAATTTCAAAAGGTTTGATATCATGTGTAACACAAATTAAATGAAGGATTAGGGTCAATTCTAAACAAAATGAAAAGTTTGGTACTGTAGCCACAATTCTCCCTTATATCTACTTAATTTATTTATTTTTCCTTATTTTAAGTGAATAAGTCATTATTTTTTAAATGAATTCTTGTATTACTAAGCACATTTACCATGTTTGTTGACGTTGTAAATTGTATGAACAAAATTCAAGCCAACCTAGAATGTAAACAAGAGTTTCATTGATTGTAAGCCATAGGTTACAAGAATCATATACCAATAATCCATTTTTCCTTTGAAGGCGATATTTGAAATAAGAAATGTAGAAGTATTTTTCAATGGAAGTGTGTTGCTATTCCCTTTTCTTTCCCTCATCCCTTTTATAGGGAGAAATCTGCATGTATCATTCATTTTCTATCTTATCAGCTACAGTACCGAATTGAGAAGATACACTTTCTGTCATGTTTGGATTGGCTGACGAGCTCGGCTTGTCGGTCATCATGAGTTTAATTTAGTGGTAGCAATTGAGCCGAGTGGCTCGTCGGCTCAGCAAAAATGAGCCTGAGCAAAGCCCATGAGCTTTTACGAGCCACGAGCCGACGGCTTGGCTCTTGGCTGGTAAAAAAACATAAATTAAAATTCAGTGACCATTCTAGTCACCAGGACTGAAACGGTCACTGAATTTTCAGTGACCGTTCCGGTCCTTTATATATATTTATATTTTTTTTCCATTTCATTTTTCTTTCCTATAAATACTCATCCATTACAACATTTCTTTTCCACCAAACTTACTATCAATCTCTCATTCNATCCCCAATCCAATTGATTTGGATGACGTTGATGTTGATCCTAGTGTTCCTATTGATTTGGAACAAGATGAAGAACATGCATTAAATATTCCCGATGCAAGAGGGAAGAGAAAGGGGAAGAAGCAGGCAAAATGTTAGGATCATTTAAAATTGGTTCAAACTGGTCGTGTGATCGATGGAGTTTCAGAAGTCAAAACAGTATGTAAATATTGTCAACAACGACTGACATGGCAAAAAGTTATTGGAACTATCCACCTCAATCGTCACTACAAAACATGTGCGACTAGCAATAGCAGACAACCAACATTTTATTTCATACGTCAAACAATATCTTTAACCGAGGTACATTGAGGTCAGTCGAAATACTTTTCGTTATGATACAATTGAATATTTCTTAATTCAAAAAACTATTGATTGCAGATTTAGAAAAATATGGGGGTGTGATATTTTTAATTTTGGATATGTGGGAAGGGATTAATAAAAGAGATTACATAGCTGCAACGCACACTATATAGACCCACTTTGGGTCTTGCATAAAAAAATTATTGCTTTTAAAACTATTGAATTCCCACACAATGCTAACAATATATTTAGGGTGTGTTTGTCTCATATTATTGGGAGAAAAATAAAATAATGAATAGTATTTTTTCGAGAATGTGTGGTTGAAATTCAAAATAACTTTATTGGTTTGTGTGTGAATATTTTATTGGGTGAATGTGTGATGAAGAATCTTACTGTAGCAAACAATTTTTTTTTGAAATAATGGTAGACAAACATGGGCTTAATGTTATTATGAACATTATTAAAGAATATAAATGCGTGAGTAAAATTCATTCTTTTACGTTCGACGACGCTAGTGTAAATAAATATGTTATCGGTAAATTGCATAGAACGTTTCAATCTGATTTCAGTGGTTATTTATTTCATATTCGATGTGTTTGCCATATTTTTAATTTAATAGAATAAGACGGTTTAAAATATATTAATGATGAAATTCAACGAATTAAGAATGCAC